TTTTTATGAATTGATCCCATATTAAACTTAAATTTTAGATGACACATCATTTTTAAGAGTGCTTATAAAATACAACAAATTCAGACAATCAGAAATAAGCATTTTTCCATTAGTGTAGTATTTTACATAATTAACTTTTTTAACACTAGACTTAGGGAGCCTTATTCAGTTGTAAAAAATGAAACCGAACTGAATGTATCTTCTGTAGGTAAGGCACCATGATGGCCGCTAGGTGGAGTTCTAGGGCAGGGTAACTTTTAAAATGGTAACGACCTAAGTCTGCCTACAACTGAGTGTAATCTGATGATGGTTGCATGATAAACTATGACGTCTGCAGTATTTTATGGTTTATGTGCTGGATGAACAGTTTTCTATTAAAATTGAAATTGAAATAACACATGTTCCAGTCAAATCCAGTCCTTGATAATGGTACATTCTGGGGTTTAATCAAATACAGCAAAGGCGATCAGCTGGAATGGGAAGCTACGGCATAGACGGAGGCCTGAAGACCGCCTTGCATAGTTTCATGTTACTATTATTCCAACAGCTTCAGTGTTGAGGATATTCAATGAGTCATGCAAATATCTAGTAATGCATGTATTTAAGGTTTTCGACTCTATTATCTAATTCAAAATAGCTGAAGAAAAATATATACACCAGCTCTTTTAATACGCATACTAATGTTACAACAACTGAATTTATAATGATAAAGTCATTAATAGGCTACTAATGTTTCCTTATTAAACATTTCCTGTATCGGTAATGTTTGTACATTAACACCAGCTAAGAAACAAAAAGTCAATTATCCCACCTTTTACTCAGTCTTCAGTTATTTACTATATGGGCTCAAATATCACTACTTGTAAAGTCCATTAGGTAATTCCACACCTCCAAATTTCAGTCAAAAGCCTTTTAACGGAGTGATACCACTTTCCAAACGCCACTTACCTTGCACCGCAAATATATCATTCTTTCTGTCAGTTATTTTTATGCACTTCTCTTTAGCTCTTATTACATTTTGGGCTTAATGGGAAATGCACAGATTTCCACTGCATACTGCGGGTGTAAACCCCAAAGCAGACTGATAATCCAAATGAAGGCTGAGTAAGTGACACACGATGGGATGCAGTGGCAAAGGAGCGAAATGTGCACCAGCAGGAGAGAGTATAAATAGTCTGACATGCTGTGAGGCTGCTGCCTGAGGGCTGTGGCTTATAATAACTGTAAATTCAGATGTCCTAGGTTCCTCCTGTCCTGAGCTGTCAGGCCAGTAAGGATGCACTTGGTCCCTAGTGGGGATATCCTTAAAATAAGAACATAGTGGCGCGCAGGAGGTTTTTTCCTCCCCTTTGACATTGAGTTATGGGGCTCTGGGCTCTGGCCGGTGGTCTGAACAATTTGTGGTGCGGCAACATCACCACGCACAGAATGAATGATGCCCTGCAGTGTTTTTGTTGGGGCGTTATCAATGTGCTGACTATAAATAATAATTACCAAAAAAAATAAAAGGCCGTATGCTTGACCAGAGGACTTTCATCCAAAAAGTCTGTTTTTCTTTCTAGTCTGAAAGTATTGGGGTTTTTCTCCTGGGCTGGGCCACGTGAGGCATGGGGAGATGAAGAAGACATGCACATGTGCATGCATGCATGCACCCATACACACACATGTACACAAGCATGTTTGCATGCACAATGGCATACGTGCACAAATGAACATAGACACAAACATACCGGCATCTTTTTGATGTAGATATATGCACACATTAATAAGCACATGGATCTGTAATTAGCTCCACTTGCTGCCCCTGCTTTGAAGTGCCCATCTGTGTGTAAGGGGGCAGTTCACCCTGGGTCATTATCTTCTCGTAAATCTACTCTGTACCTCAACAGAGCTTTCACCTCATCCTCTAGAGTCCTGCTCGAGTCTTTCTGCAGCTCGGGCCGCGGTATTATAAAATAGGAGAACATTTTGTGGGTTTGGCCTGGGCCAAAGCAAAACTTGGACCCACCCGCTAATTGCTAATTACAAGCCCCTACCCAGTGGTGGCTTGACTTTTTGTCAGGGGCTTCTCTCCTCGCTCTCCATGAAAGGAGCTGGGCCTGGGCTTTCAGCTGCAGCCTATAGGTCCCCTGAGGAGTGCCAGAGATCCACGGCCCATGACTCACAGTGTGGCTATATGGCTGCCATGCACATTTACTGTACTTATACATGGCAACTTGGCATTTTTCATAACCAAAAAGAAACATGCACTGATTTGTCTCCTTTGTAAAGACCAAGCTTGAATTGAAAATCTTGTATGTCGAAGTCAAAGGCTTTTAAATAGTTTCAAAAATTCTTCTCACAAGCACAAGTTCCTCGTTGTTTCAAAGACAAACCCTTGATTTATGAGGTTGTTAATGCCTTACAAACCTCTCTCAGAGTCTTATGCCGCAGACAGGTAGTGAATAGCGATACTTCAGGTGGCGTTAGCTGTAGGAGCCAGCAGAGGCCCTCCATTCCCTCCAACCTGTCACTGATTAGTCTGTGGAATAAACAAAGCCCTAAATAATAGGATGAGAGCTGCCCTGGGGAAAGGCTGGGGAGTTGTCTAGTCATGTTGCTCACAATTTAGGAGACTTTTAGAACACTCCCTTGCCCCATAAATCCTCCTCAAGAGATTATGTGATGTGAAGCCTGGGATGCTCAGCAAATCCAAATATTTTCCTGAGCAGGTTGTGGATCATTCTCTGTGAGTGCAGTAATTCATTCCCACACAGCTTGAAACAGTGCATCAATGGCAGCGTGAGTCTCCACAAGCTACGAAGTTTAGCTTTGGCACGAGCTTTGGCCATTATTTGTTGGTTTATTATTCTTCCAAACCACACACATTGTTTTTTGATGTCGACTGCTAAATCCAGTATCCATTCTGTCTTGTTGAGATATTGTTTGTGCAGTGACCGTTGGAGTTGGCCCAAAGAATTCTTGATTATGTAGCAGGCTGCTCCCAATAATGCCCTGTATATTGTGAGCTTTAGAAACCAAATGCAGTTGACTCTGAACTCTTTGTATGGACATTACCTAAAGGTCAGAAGCCATGTGTGTATTTGTGTTTTTCTATTTGTTGTTGTGTGTATGTTTGTTCTCCCCTTTAGGGCAGCAAAGCTTGAGCGCTGTATAAAGGCCTGTCAGCCCAATGATGATGCCTGTGTCCTGAACCCTATACACTCAGTGTCCCACACCTTCATCTCCTTGCCCACGTTCAGAGAGTTCACAAGGCCAGAGGGTAGGTACAGAAGATTTTCAAACGGTGATACAAAAGTCATGGTATGATCTAAACAGAAAGCAAAAGTGTAAAGCTGTCACAATAGACGTCCATCCATCCAAACATTATCTATACTGCTTATCCTTTGAGTGTCGCAAGAGGGAGTTGGAGCTAATCCCAGTTGACATTGGGCAGGAGGCACACCCTGGACAGGTCGCCAGCACATAGATTACATTCATGCTTTATCAGTAAATGTTACAAAAACAACCATTTAAAAATGTTGATATACTTTTGTTCCCCCGTTCGTTGTTTGTAGAAAAGATTGATACTACCCTCATATTTTTGGGGTACGCTAATTATGAAACTTTGTCTCATGACCCAATATTTTGGGCTTCCTGTGCAGACAGCGGATATCCGGGCCAAAACGTCTTCCATTTGACAAACACTGTTTCATTTGACTTATAACATGAGATGCAAGGACGATGTGAGGCAAATGCTTCTCACCAAAAAACACAGAGATACATTTTGTAGGTGTTTCAGATGCATTTTAGTAATTTTGCCTCTTGGTTGCCTCTACCTGCGGGTGACCAAAGCCTCCTCAAAAACGATTAGTCAAACTAGAACAGTAAAGTGAATTCTGAGCTAAGATAAAGAAGTGATGGTAGGCAGATTTTATTTTTGGACAGAGCCAGGCTAAGCTAGTCTGTTTCCACCTGCTCGCAATTGTTACGCTAAGGCAAGGCAAGTGGCTACTAGCTTTAGCTTGAAATCTGCCTTATGAGAACCGTATCAATCTACTTCTCTAACCACTGACAAGGAAGCAAAAAAAATCTATTGACCAAAATGTAACTTTTACTTTGAAATAATACTTTAAAAACAATTACTGATCATTTAAGCTTCCCTTACAATTCTTTTGTATATCGCATCATTTCCACAAAACCACAAAGCCCACATCTGTGGTCCTCAGCCTTTTTACTATATCTCCTTTAATCTCTGCCATCAAATGCATCTTCATGCAGTTGTCAGAAATCATGTGACCACCTCTGACCCCCCAAATGAACTATTCCCTGATATTCTCCATGTAGTGTGTAGATACTTGGGTAGCCCACACCAGAGATAAGTGCCACGCTGGTTGGATGCCGCATGAGTTACCGCGGTAATCACTCGCAGACAGTGACAGCTGACAAGCATCTATTGGCCGGCATGCGGAGCGTGTTTCAGACACACTCATGCTCACTGTCACAGGCAGTTAAGATCTTGTCATTTCTCATAAGCTTTGAGTTGGGGTGTAAAGGACTTTTCAGGCCCTTCAGCTGAACAACAGTATTGAAAAGCCTCAACCTTCCTGTGACCCTCTCAGTGTATAATAAACACAGACCTTTCCGTCTCTCGTTTTATTGTCTTCTTCTTGGAAAGGAGAAAAAAAAAGGAATTGGCACACATTTGGCGGTGCAATCCCTGTGTGATTATGAGGGTTTTATGCTCCAAAAGCTTTTTGTGTCTAATTGTTATCTTCCAACAGAGATTGTTTTCCTGAGAACCACGGTGCCGGCTTACGGGTCCTATCACTTAGGCAGTTACGATGTCAAGTTTGACATCCTGGAAGGCAACGTGGAGAACGCCTTCGACATCATCAAGCGGGTAGAGAATGGATTGTATGTGGGTGAGTACAATGTGTTTCTTCACTTTGTGTGTTGTGAAGTCTGAACCAACCAACCCAACCAACATTTGAC